TTCTGTGATTCATTGGGTAGGTAAATTCCTGGCTGATCCAACCTGGGCTGATCTCGCTATTCATAATTATTTCCCTCATGGGACTGGTGTGAGGGCTTTTCAGAGATGGTCTTTGGATCAGCACTCCACTGCCCAGCTACTTTCATTACTAGTAATAAATGGGTGTAATGCAGTTGTGCTTCATGGCCAAAACTGAGATTGTCTAACTCATCACAGCTGCCCAGGCCACCCTCACCTGTCAATCCCTGCAATCAGCACACCAGCTGTGGGTTTATCCACCACTCTGCAAGACCGTGGTAACCCTCTGCCTGCCAAGCCCAAGATGGCTCTGTACTCCCTATAATCTTTCAGATTGGTTCCTTGTTTCCGCCTGGATTTGTGTATATTATTGGGGGGAACCATTTCCAAGTCTGTTTTGGAGCTCAGATCCCGCTCGTCCCCTGGCAGACTGATCCTTTTCTGAGTGGTACAATTCCACCTGGGCACAGGCGGTGCTTGAATTGCTTGGAGGAAGGAGTTGGCTGCCTCAAGGCTCTGTTGTCTCTGCAAGCCCTGTAGACACCACAGAGGGAGATGACCAGGAGCTCACAAGCTCAAAGGTGCTTTTGCAAAGCAAGTACTCAGACTGTTTCCTGGAACACTGTATCACCCACTTCTGTTGCTGACTGAAACGCCCTAGGCTGCTGCAGTGTCATTGCCGAACCGTCTCTTCCTCCTGAGAGTCACCTAAGCCTCTTCCGTCCCATCAGCTCTGCCTCTATCTGCAAGCTTGAATGAATTTGTATCCATGTGGCTTCCGGCTGGGAAGGCTGCAACTCAGCTGGTGAAGCACAGCTCCTCTCCATGAGAAGGGTGGTAAGTTCCCCCCAGACAGCTTGTTCAAAATGGCTTATTAATATTCTGTTTTTAACAATCAACATGCATATGGGATGATAACCAAAAGCCAAATTCACCATTCAATTAGACCCGGGCAACCCACCCAACCCCCGAAGTCAATAAGGCTGCATGAATGCCAAGAGGGGGGAATTTTAACGCCGAATAGTAAACCAAAATGATTGCTTTGTGCGGAGATCCAGGGTCGGATTCTATTCTCGGCTCCTCTTAAATCCGGAGTAATTCTATTTACACTGCGGTGACTGAGAATAGAATCTGGCCCTTACTTATGGTTTATGGCTTGTATAATTCCATGTCACGTTAAATAACGCTCAATTGGCTTTTTCTGGTTTGTTTTGTTAGTTTAAAGCTGCTCTCAATTTACTAGGCAATTCCTGGCCCTTTTCTTTGTACTGTACCTCAAATCTTCTCCTCTTGCATATCGTTGTAAGTCCTTGCTCGGACTCTGGTGCCGCCTTCATGCGGTGCTTGATCCTGCACTCTTTACTCGGGCAAAACTTCCCTTGAGAGTAGGATCAGGTCCAAGGAGGGGGCTCTGAACTGAGCCCAGTCCTGATCTCACACTGGTTTTATACCACTGTTGTTCCTGATGTATCCCCACGAGAGGAAAATGAAGCCCATGGCCTTTTATCCTTGTACAGCGGGCAGCTGCCTGTCTGAAATCTGTGGTCGTTCTTTGAGCCAACAAAGCTACTGCTCTGGAGAGAGCAGAAAGAGTCCACTCCAAATGTGTCCATAGCTTTGAGTACAGTGTCACTGCCCGCTGAAGTAGGTGGCCCCTAACATTTGTTGTCTCGGACTTGCTTTGGAAAGCCATGTAGGCTGCTTGGTTTGGAGGATCCTGTTGGGAGGCAGCTACGGGTTTATGATGCTAATCTGGAAGGAATTGCTTTGTAGCATAAAGTAGCAAGAAGCAGAATTTGCATCACCTTCCCTGATAGCAATTTGCAATTGTATAGCAGTAACTCTTCTCACCTGAGCCTCATCGGGGCTTTGCAAACAATAATTAAGCTTCAACAAACCCCTGGACTGGGTAATAATTAAGATTCCCCCATTTGACAAAGGGGAAACCGAGGCACAGAGTGGTTAAAGTCACCCAAGGTGTCTGAGGACTGGTGGAAAACCGAGGACTTGAATCCAGATATCCTGATTCTTGGTCCACTGTGCTAACAAGCAGATAACACTCCCCTCTAAACCCCCTCACAAATCCTTTAGCCAGCTCTTTGGAGAGCCACAATATAAAGACACGGAGTGGCCCTGAAGTGAACAGAAAGATGCAATTTAATTGTCTAACTCATTCTCTCATGAGAGAATGAAACTATGTACGTTCTAAGAATACCTCTGTGACTGTGGGGGGACAATGAACATTCTCACGCTCACTTCCTCCCACACACGGCTCCAGCCACACCCAGCTAGCTAGCTAACAATACATAGCTCATTGCTGTGAATGTGGTCTCCAGCGACGAGTCCTGTGAATGTCTTATACCCCACGTTACGGACCCAGGGCAGGAAGAAGCAGTTGCACTAGCTCGCTGAGGGTGCCTGATAGGCAGTCTGACATGAGCTTCCTTTCCGGGCCTGTGTAGGCTTTAAGATGACTGACGAAAAACGAGAAGTAGTGTACGGTACGCCGTAGCATTTTGTCCAAAACACTGTGGCATTTTGGGGGGGACAACACAAGCTTCGAAAGCTGAGCAGTGACTGATGTTGCAGGGTGCCTACGTTTATGCACCAAAATACCTGCACCTCAGTGCAGATTTAAGAGCCTGAAATGTCTACTTAGGTGCTTTAATATGGATATACATCATGGGCGGCGGATTGTCATAAACATACAGTTAAGGGTTAATTCCTCTTTTACCTGTAAGGGCTTAAGAAGATCACATAACCTGTCTGACACCTGACCAGAGAGACCAATGGGAGGACAACATGCTCTCAAAGAGGGAGGAGGGAAAAAGTCTTTGTCTGTTCTGTGTGGGCTGTTGCCGGACAGGGAGAAGGAACCATCCCACTCCTAACAGAGTAGTAATTAGAGAAGGAATTTATTAAATTACTTTTTTTCCCCCTTAAAAGAAGAATTTTAATTAAAGCCAAAAAAAATGGTGAAAGGAATACCTCTGTGAGATAAGAAAGCAAGATAATCTCACAGACAACAGATTCAGAACACAGAGGATTTCCCTCTGGGCAAAACTTTAAAGTTACACAGAAACCCAATTTGATTCTCCCTCTATTTTGCAACAGAAATTTAATACATTCCTTCTCTAATTACTCACTACCCTGTTAAGAGTGGGATGGTTCCTTCTCCCTGTCTGGCAAAAGCCCACACAGAACAGACAAAGGCTTTTCCCCTCCTCCCTCTTTGAAAGCATCTTGTCCCCCCATTGGTCCCTCTGGTCAGGTGTCAGCCAGGTTATGTGAACTTCCTAACCCCTTACAGGTAAAAGAGGAATTAATCCTTAACTGTATATTTATGACACAGGTATAACAGGCCAGGGGAGGCTAAGCTCTGGCCCCGCCCATGCTCCCCCTCTCCCCCAAGCTGGCAGGAGCCCGGGGGGGTTCAGCTGGGGCTCCTCCGGTTGTGAGGAAGGGGGGGCGCTCGAGGCTCTGACAGAGGCTGGGTACGGGCAGGGCCTTGGGTGGAAGGGGTGAAGCTGCGTGGCTCTACCCATGACCTCCATCCCCAATGTTAGGCTCCCATGTTTGAAAATTGAGCTGTAAACAACCTGTCAGTGGGGCTGAGGGTTTCACTTGTGTGGGCCCAGGTGATGGTCGATTAAAATGAACCAAGTCCCATGTGTGCCTGCCAGGTCACAGCTCTGTGTCCTGCCCTGAAGATTCTAATTAAAAGAGCAGCATTTGTGGGTCCCAAAGGGGAATCCCGTCTGGTCCTTGTTGGTGGGAAGAAAGGTAGCTGTGTTACAGGGCTTGGGAGGTGGAGGGGTTAACACCAGGAAAGACTTGGGGGAGAGGCGGAGCAGTCCATCATCACTCTCATCCCCTCTGCCCTCCCTCAATAAAAGACCCCAGGACCCTCAACAAAAGACCCCAGGACTGGTGCGCTCTGAAGTAGGGCTTATGCTCAACAATATCAGATATTGCTCTCCTGAGTCTCAGTACCTGACCTGGGAGGCGTATGCTGCCTCCCAGCGGGTTGGGAATTTCCTGCCGGGATGATTTTCTGACAGCAAATGCAATTTCTGCAAAATCAAAACTTTCTGTGGGTGGGGGGGAGAAAATTCCAATTTGCCATCAGGAAAATTGAACTGAAATATTTTCTTCTGAGTCACATCCACCTGAATTACAAGACCCATAAGACAATGCACTGAGAGGGAAATGCAGCTGAATATTTCATTGAACGGGGGTGAAGTCTTTCTAAAGTGGATGATTCCAGCATTTTAAAGTGGCTTTTGGAACCAAGTGTTTAAAAATACACCGGGTCAGGGCTCATTTGTTCCAACGTTTCCCCTGGGGTAGTCAGTAATGCCTGACGTTACTGAAGAATCCAAAAGTGTTTCAGAAAGTATGCTACACAACTGAAATGCAGCCATCTCTGGGGCAAAGGGCAGCAATCAGCCATGTAAAACACCTCGCACAACAGTGGGAAGAGGGGAAACTTTTGGCCAAAGCCCCTATTACTAAGAAAAACATCCCAGCTATTTACAGGTCCATGGGGAGCAGACAGGACTTCAGTTCTTAGGACCCACCTATAATAATTTGCTCGGTGCTCTAAATGTAACCTTTTCGCTTTCCCCGTAATACACTGGGAAAATTGAACCCTGGTATAAGCAGGCTCAAAGCTACTGTTTTCCATGGGTTTGCATTTGCTTATGAAAGAGCAAGCCAAATTCAGCCCTATCTACTGTATCTCATTCTTTGGTTGGCTAAATACTTAGTTTAATATGCTTGGCAGATGCCGTTAGCCAAAGGGACATCATATTGCAGTGGACTTGCAGGACCCAGTAACTGTGCTGCAGACCTGCTTCTGACGTACTTCCTGGCATTGTTCTAAAATTCGGCTCATCGTTATCTCCTCAAAGGAGAAGAGGGACCCTAAAAGTGTCAATACTTTCTCTTTCTTGCCCCTTCTGCTGCAGGTCACCCAAAGTATGGAGACTTCTTCCCAAGTGTTTAGCGCCACCAGCTTTCATCCTGTCACGAACGCCAGCACAGAGTGCAAGTCACAGGTGCTGCCCCATGTCATCCCCGTCCTGCTGAGCATTCTCTTCTTGGCCTGCCTCGTTCTGAACAGCATCAGTCTGTGGATATTCTGGTTCCATATCAAGCAGTGGAATTCTGGCATGATCCTCCAGTTCAACCTAGTCTTAGCGGATGCCCTTCTTATTCCCATTGTGCCGCTGATTGTGGCCTATTTCAGCATGGGCAACAGCTGGCCATTTGGTCAGTTCCTCTGCCAGTTCAAAATCTTCATCCTCAGCACTCACTTATATGGCAGCATCTACTTCCTGACGCTCATCAGCATTCACAGGTACGTTGCTGTCGTTCACTACAGCTCCAGGACCCTTTGGAAGAAGAAGTCCTTCCTGAAGAAGCTCAGCTTGTTTGTATGGTTTCTCCTAAGCATCCAAGGGCTGCCCTTGTTCGTCGTCCTCAAGACTTCATCCATCGATGGCTCTGTGAAATGCATGAGTATCCATCAATCGGAGTTCACCTCTCTTTACTTGTACTACAGTATCTTCCTGGTGACGGTCAACTTCCTCCTCCCCTTTGGCATCTCCTTGACCTGCTATGCCTTGCTGGGAGCTACCATTGCTAAAATGAACAGTACGAGCCTCCGGGGCAGGGTGATGAAAACGAAGTCCTTACAGATGATAATGGTGTCCCTGGCTATCTTTGTCATCTGCTTTGTGCCACTGCATGTGAGCCGGACCATAGGAGTGATTGTAAAGTATTACAACCTGTCCTGTGAGCGCCTGCACCAGGTGGAAATTGTGTATTATGCCTCTTGGCTTTTCACCATGGTGAACTGCTGTCTCAATCCCTTGATCTACAACTTCGCTAGTGAGAAGTTTAATGAGTCCTTCTCAAAATCCCTGAGAAAATTCCGGTTCTTAAAGTGAATTTGCAGGATTCAGGGCCCATGCTAGCACTTCCAGGGGGACCGGTCAGAGGTGCTGTCAATTCTAGGAGCCAGATCTTCAGCAGTGCCAGAACTCTGCTCGACACAGTTTGGAGGCAGCAAACATGGCTCTAAAGGTGCGTCTCCCCTGCAATGATGGGGTAGGATTGCAGCTCACGGAGAGACATCCAAGCTAGATTTAATCTAATTAGCTTGGGTACCAGAGAAGTGAAGCTGTGGGAGTGCCCACTTCAGTGTATGCTGTGCACGGCCGCCTGCAACACTAATTACTCATGGGGGTAGTCCATGCTGAAGTGCCTGCTGCTGCTCCTTCATTGCTCCCGTGCTCAAGCTAGCTAGATTAAAGCTAACTCATGTATGGCTACAAGGGCTGGAATCCTACCCTATGATTGCACTGTAAACATACCTTGATCCCCAGGGCTGCTGGATGTCAGTTCACCCCCTGGCATAATTTAGAGCAACCTCAGGACTGCTCTATGGTCTACCAGCTATAATGGTCTCCAAGGGATCATTCCTGTAGCCAGGGGATCACTGGAGTGTAAGGGTGTTCTTGCCATATACTTCTCCCAGTCACCCCCCCCTAAACTGACAGCTGTAAGGGGAAATCCTCAGACAGCTGGATCTACCAACTTTAGTTTTCCTTGGTGCTGCTGGAATGGCCCAGCACAGCTAAAGTGGGGTTGACGATTTGGACCTAAGACTGTAAACTAAAAGAGAGTTTCTCACGGTTAGCAAACCCAGTGAAAAACCCCATTTCTGCAAAACACGTCGAACCCTTGTCTTCCATGTAAATCATAATGCAGTTTCTCACCAGGAGAAAAAAATGTCTCTGAAGGTGACGAGCAATGCAAGGTGCAGGACTTGTGAACCCAGTACAAAAGCATATAGGAAAGAGAACCTTCCTCCGGGTGAACATCCTATCCCCACTTCATGGCATTGGCTGCAGAATCTAGAACAAGGGCAGGCAACCTATGGCATGCGTGCCAAAGGCGGCACGCAAGCGGATTTTCAGTGGCACTCACACTGCCCGGGTCCTGGCTCTGCATTTTAATTTAATTTTAAATGACGCTTCTTAAACATTTTTAAACCTTATTTACGTTACATACAACAATAGTTTAGTTAGATATTATAGACTTATAGAAAGAGACCTTCTAAAAACGTTAAAATGTATTACTGGCACACGACCAATTTTTATCTTGCAGGATGTTCACCTTACACAGAAAGTGTGCTTCCAAAATATGCATTTAAGCTAGCTATATTTATAGTGTGGTTTTACAAGTTACAAAACTCTCTGTACGTCACTAAAATCCAATCCACCCATTCGCAACTGTTCCTTAATTTAATAATAATAATAATAAAATATATCATAAGAACGGCCATACTGGGTCAGACCAAAGGTCCATCTAGCCCAGTATCCTGTCTTCCAACAGCAGCCAATACCAGGTGCCCCAGAGGGAATGAACAGAACAGGTAATTATCAAGTGATCCATCCCCTGTTGCCCATTCCCAGTTTCTGGCAAACAGAGGCTAGGGCCACCATCCCTGCCCATCCTGGCTAATAGCCGTTGATGGACCTATCCTCCATGAATTTATCTAGTTCTTTTTTGAACCCTGTTATAGTCTTGGCCTTCACAACATCCTGTGGCAAAAAGTTCTACAGATTGACAGTGCATTGTGTGAAGAAATATTTCCTTTTGTTTGTTTTAAACCTGCTGCCTATTCATTTCATTTGGTGACCCCTAGTTTGTGTGTTATGAGAAAGTAAATAAGGAAGTGTTATTTACTCTTTCTCCACACCAGTCATGATTTTATAGACCTTTATATTATCTCCTAGTCATCACTTTTCCAAGCTGAAAAGTCCCAGTCTTATTAATCTCTCCTCAGATGGGCACCATTCCATACCCCTAATCATTTTTGTTGCCCTTTTCTGAACCTTTTCCAATTCCAATATCTCTTTTTTTTTTTTGAGATGGGGTGACCACGTCTGCACGCAGTATTCAAGATGTGGGCGTACCATGGATTTATATAGAGGCAATATGATATTTCCGGTCTTATTATCTATCCCTTTCTTAATGATTCCCAACATTCTATTCACTTTTTTGACCGCTGCTGCACACTGAGTGGAGGTTTTCAGAGAACTATCCACAAGGACTCCAAGATCTTTCTTGAGTGGTAACAGCTAATTTAGACCCCATCATTTTATATGTACAGTTAGGATTATGTTTTCCAATGTGCATTACTTTGCATTTATCAACATTGACTTTCATCTGCCATTTTGTTGCCCAGTCACCCAGTTTTGAGAGATCCTTTTGTAGCTCTTCGCAGTCTGCCTGGGACTTAACTTCTTCTTTTGTTCTTTACTTGTCCTATCTCTGTTTCGGATCCTGTATTCAGCTACCCAGGAAGGCACCACGACGGGGTCATAAAACAAATGTAGTGTTTGCTAGGGTCAAAGCTGACTTCAGCTTTGCAAAGTGTTATGGGATACCCGTGTAAGCAAAATATCGTTCAAATATAAAGCTTTGTGCTAATATTTGTAATCCTAGAATATGTAATGCATATTAAGATGGTGTGTAACGTATGCCGATTGGCTAGTATAATAAACAAGGGATTCCTGGGCTCAATTCCTGTCTTTGCCACTGACTTTCCGATGCCTTGGGCAAACCGCTTAAACTCTCTGGGCTTCAGCACAGAAGAACAGTGACATCCTTGGATGAAAGGTGCTGGAGAAGTATGAAGAACTAGACCGTTATCAACAGGAAGACCGCACTAGCCATCAGGGATAACGAGACCTCCAGAAGGACAAAGCTGGAGTTATGGATGGGGGAGGTGGCATGAGGTTCCCAAGAGTGGATCCTCCCTTTTATCTCCCCCATTTTCCACCTCCTACTTTTAACATGTTATAATACAGCTGTTACTAACAGCATTCTAGGGTCTTGATCGGTTTCCATGTCCAAGGTGAACATAGAGATTTTTTCGGGGAAGGCTGCTAATCCAACTGTGCTGTAGAGAGACCTGGCCCCTCTGCTGCCTGCTGCTTTATCAGCCAGCAAGGAAACCTGGTGGGAAGGCCTGGGAAAAGAAGTGTATCTTGATAACTCCCTATGATAGATTCCACAGTGGAGCAGCACTAGTCTCAGACAAAAATCTCCATCCATGGTCAGGGAGAGTAAGACCGGGTCCTGTCTACATGGCCTATTTGTCCAATTCTAGTTGTTGGTGGCCACTTGCTGACACAGCTGCACCGTTGTGGACAAGGTAAGCTGCCATTTGCATCTGTTTCAAACCAGGGAATGCCACCCCAGTGCAAACCACGGCTTACCTTGTCTATACTTGGGTATAGATAGTGTCTCCATTGAATCATAGAATATCAGGGTTGGAAGGGACCTCAGGAGGTCATCTAGTCCAACCCCCTGCTCAAAGTAGGACCAATTCCCAATTAAATCATCCCAGCCAGGCTTTTGTCAAGCCGGGCCTTAAAAACCTCTAAGGAAGGAGATTCCACCACCTCCCTAGGTAACGCATTCCAGTGCTTTACCACCCTCCTAGTGAAATAGTGTTTCCTAATATCCAACCTAGACCTCCCCCACTACAACTTGAGACCATTGCTCCTTGTTCTGTCATCTGCCACCACTGAGAACAGCCGAGCTCCATCCTCTTTGGAACCCCCCTTCAGGTAGTTGAAGACTGCTATCAAATCCCCCCTCATTCTTCTCTTCTGGAGACTAAACAATCCCAGTTCCCTCAGCCTCTCCTCATAAGTCATGTGCTCCAGACCCCTAATCATTTTTGTTGCCCTCCGCTGGACTCTTTCCAATTTTTCCACATCCTTCTTGTAGTGTGGGGCCCAAAACAGGACACAGTACTCCAGATGAGGCCTCACCAATGCCGAAGAGAGGGGAATGATCATGTCCCTTGATCTGCTGGCAATGCCCCTACTTATACAGCCCAAAATGCCGTTAGCAACATTCATTGGTGTCAGGCCACCGATTGCTTGGATCGGGGCAAATTCCCAGTGTAGACAAGGTGTTGGACTCTGTTCACAACAGCTGTGTTCAAACGATGGTAATTAGCATGGCTGTGCAGTGAGTCTGGTTAGTACCATGTGATCAGTATTAGATTTAGGCATTACCATCTCTTTAGAGACGAGTGTGTGACAGGGAGGTTTGCACCACCCTTAATGCAATTATACCAGTGTGGCAGGCAGTAGATTCGATGAGATGAGGGTTCCCAAGGTCCCTTCTGCACTACAAAACTTGTCAACCTTAGTGTCCAAGCTGCTGGGGCTTTTTAAAGTTCCAGAATCGGTTGCACCATATCGTGGAGAATGTGCTTGGTGAGTTTCTAGGCTCTCGAGGCACGTGGGAGAAAGCTGAAAGCACGAGTGAGCTCAGAAATGTTCGATGAAATACACTGCACACTCCTGCATGGCCTCAGCTGAGAGCCTTTGAGGCCTCTCTGCGTGGCGAGATGGTACAGAAATCTACAAGGCGAGCGCTACAGAAATCTGGCGATGAAATTCTGGGTCAATGCCCTAATTTTGCATATTTGGTAAACGTTCATTGCCGTGACAGCAGGCACCCAGATTACCCAGATCCAAATGCCTCCTCGTGACACTGCCATCAGCTCCTTTTCTATTTCACGTTAATGACAGAAGTTGTAATTACCAGCACAATTCCCTTCTCCTTCTATCTGGCATTGAGGTATGGAGCTATGACTCTCCCGTTGGGGAGTCTCTCCCCTAGACCAGACCACTCTCCTCTCCATCCATGGAAGGGGTTATTTCTCTCCTTGGCTAGGATCTCCCCCACCTCCATCAGGTTCTCTTGCCCTGGCTGTAACCCAGCTCAGTGCTTTGACAATGCAGTTTAAGAAACTCACGTTGCTGCTTTTTGACTGCTGTACCTTGTCATCTGTTACCTGCTGGCTCAACCTTCTAATTATTGTATTTGCTAACTACTTCAGTTCTGTAATGGAAACACATTTATCCTACAAACTTCAACCGTGGTTTTAATCTCTCTCTCTGTGTAGTATTGACACATCTACCACACAGGGGAATTGTCATGTCTTTAATGTGCCTTGCAAGAGGA